GGGCAAACTTACTTAACAACATAAATTCGGGGCTCAATTGTGGTCATAAGTCAAGGATTACTTATATGCCCCACCCCCACCACCTTCCAACACTGTCCAAGAACAGCATCAAGAGGATAAAATCTATCAGGATCTATCACGTCTTGTGGAGGGCAGCCCAGCAGCCTGTGTTGATTGCGAAGAGAGGTTGGATGGGCCAACATGGCAAGAACTAATGCAACTTTTTTCAGTTACAACTGCAGGCATCTGGATCACATGTTTCCTCAGTACATAAGCATACATTTTGATTGGGGGAGGGGGTTTCACCCAGCTTGGGAACATCATGTCATGGCATGGGCCTGGGGTACTTGCAAGACCACCTCCTACCGGCCTCCCACCGCCCAGTGCGCTCACATAGGACTGCCCTCCTCCGGGTGCCGTCGGCCAGACAATGTCGGCTGGCAGCCCCCAGGATGAGGGCATTCTCTGTGGCCGCTCTGACCCTCTGGAATGGGTTACCCACCGGGTTCCGGACGGCCCCCGACCTCCGCACTTTCCGCGCCGACCTGAAGACATGGCTTTTCAGCAAATTCCCTGATCTGCTGCAAGGTTTTAATTGTCTGGGGATTTTAAATCGGTTTGTTTTAGCATTGTTTTATTGTTATGCTGTTTTTATTCTGTGAGCCGCCCCGAGTCCTACGGGAGAAGGACGGCATATAAATTTGATAAAATAAATAAATAAAATAAATAAATCTCCGCTTTAAACTGGGCTACCTAGTGAGCCCAAATCACCATAAATGGATTATAGCTTCCATTCTTCATCTGCAAGCACCCCTAAGATCTCAACGTTCTGCCTCTCCTTGCTTTAAATGCCATTTGGTCACCCTCAAATATCCTTGATCATTCAAGAATGTTACTATTCCAGGTACCACTGGATCACTCACACACACAATCTGAGTTTGATCTACCACAGCAACACCACAGCCACCAAAATTTAGCAGAGCTTTTCCAGATCTAAAGAAGTTAAGGATAGTTTTCCCTTATTTTCACCAGCTTAATTTTATATTTTAAATTTTATGTCACCTAGTATGCCCTATTTTAATTGTAATGCTTCTGACAAATAAACAAACCCACTTAGCTCATGGTTACCCTTGCAGTTACAAATTCCAGGTCTGGGCAGTCCTTTTTTAGTTTCTTCCAGCTAAAGAATCTAGAATGAAGTAAAACTTTCAACATGGAGAGCCAGCCCCTTTTGTTTTTCTTCTCCCTTTGCCCTTGAAGCTATTAAAGGCACCGAGCTTATGCCATTTGCTAACCTAATTTGAGCCTTTCCAAAGCTTTATGTTGTCCTCACACAAGGAAGATTTCGTAAGTAAGGCAGGGATTATGTAAGCAGGTTTGTCCCATCTTTCTCCAATGAGTTTTAAACATAAGCAAGTTAAGAGTTGATCCGCATTAATCTGCCTGTGCGTAGTAAATACGGTTGTAAAGAGCTTGTTGTGGTCAGGTAAGACAAGGTTGAGAAAAGGCACAGCCAATCCTTTTTACTGAAATTTCACCTGACCAGCACTCCTACCAGCCTCTTACTCTATCTTGCATATGCCCAAAGATTACCAATGACATTTCTTAAAAATGACAAAGAATTAATATAATAAAACTTCCTCTTCATTTCTTACTTTGACCATAAGCGCCACCTGGTGGAAAGACTAAAAATGGAACTCAAGCAATTGCCCTAGAAGACAACATAAGCAAGGAGCGTTTCATTTCCAAAATATGGCAAACAAGATTCAAATCTACCTACAACTCGTTTCAATTTATTCCATACTTTGTGATCTCAAAGATGCATGAATGAATTCTAGGGGCACGTTCCAGGCTCAAAACACCTTTCACTGAAATTGACTGAAACCTATGGAAAACAACAGTTGAAAATCTTGAATTGGGACTGGAGAGGAATATCTTCAACTGCCACCCAGTCGCTAAACTCATTAGTGGATCTTGGATAAACCTAACCTACTTTGCAGGGTTAGTAGGTGGGCAACTATGCCTCGTTTATGACTTATGGACTTCAATTCCCAGAATTCCTGAGACAGACATGGAATTCTGGGAGCTAAAGTATACAGGTTGTTAAGGGGACATAGTTGCCCACCCGTTAGATAATAGTAAGTATATACATTTGTAGGGCCCTGCAGAAAGTTTGGATTTGAACATCACTAGTACATGGCCTTCGCGTAAAATTGGAAGTGTCTTGGCGACGTTTCGACAAAGTCTCATTCGTCATCTTCAGGCTGGTGTTTTTGAAGCACGAAGCCAAAACCACCAGCCTGTAGATGACGAATGAGACTTCGTCGAAACATCGCCAAGACACTTCCAATTTTAGGTGGGAGAAAACCCGAATAACCAAAGACCTACAAACAATTTCAGCAAGCCTCAAGTTCCAGGTTCATTAAAGGAAGAGGGGGTGAGGAGGAAATTAAAAAAGATATTTTGTTAGTGGGAAAGGTGCAAAAATAAAATTTCAGATCCTGAACTCAAGATTTAGGGACTTACTTTTGGTAGTCCAGAGAAAGTGCCTAAAAGCAAGGAGCTAAGATTGAAGGGGAGAACATTTGAATGGGAGCAAGCAAACCATGGTCTTTGGCCTAAAGTTCATCTAAAAAGCCATTAGCAAGTAGTTTCAGACTCTCCGCCTTATTTACTTTCACATTTTTGCCCTTGTCCCTTGGGGAAAAGCTCAGCGAACAAGTGAAGTTATCTGGTAAATGCTGAGGGAAAGAATCAAGTTTCTTCCACATGGCTTCAGCCCCCAAAAATGACTTCCAAGCAGTGGTGGGATTCAGCCAGTTTGCACCACTTCGGGAGAACCGGTTGTTAACTTGCTGAGAAGTTTGGCAAACTGGTTGTTGGAAGAAATCATTAGGGCAGCGAACCGGTTGTTAAATAACTTGAATCCCACTACTTCCAAGGGAATGGCAGAGAACAAGATGAACTTATTGGAAATATGCAAGAACAATTACCTCATTCACTGAATGAATGTCTCCCTAATTCACTGAGATACAAGAAGCAGAAGGTATAGTACAATCAGACTGGGAAGATTGTTATAGTCAATCAAAACAGTTTTAGTCTTCCTGTGGAGTTGATTTCCTGGTCTGATCCATCTAATTGGGGGTTGACAGAAATGCAACCCTCCAAGGCAAAGAATTCCAACCCCTTATTTATGCTCACAGTATTTTTATGGTCTCTCAACATCCCCTCCCTCCCTGGCTATCAAGTGGGAAACCTATTGCTGTAAACTTGCATAATAAGACAGACCATATATGCACACATATTCATGTGTAGGTGAAACCCATGAAGAGAAAGGTAAGTGAAGTCTGTATTACTGGTACTTTCTAATGTTTTCCACCTACACTAGGAGACGGATGCAGGCCAGCTGATACTGCTGGATTCTGACCCTGACCTAAGATTCACCTGTGCTCCCCTTGCACACCCATCATCAAGGGAGGCCGGGCTGCTTAAAATATTGCCCCCAGGTGATGCAACAGATATGGACTCATTTGGCTAAAGATCTCTTGATGTTTCTAACTGCTTTCTGTACTTCTCAGGATTTGTGGGAGAAACAATACTGAATATTCCAAAACAGCAAGCAGGTTCTTAAGAAATGCATTCCCCCCCGCCCCCCATTGCTTTGCTGCAGGGTAGAAAGCCTAGACCTCTAGTTGCTTCAAAATGCATATTGCACTAAACGGGTACACACACAAACATACAAAATGCAGCAGCGCCCTCTGCTGGCCTCTGAGAAGTTCAACAATCATGGTCTCAATGCAGGTGTTTCTCCAGAAAAAGGTAGATATCTACATTTTTTGATCTGGCAATTGCAGAACCACCGGTATTTCTCCCTACCTTTTAGGCCTATCTATGGTGGAGGACACAACTCACAGCTTGACCTTTTGGGAACTCCGAGTTTGTGTTTGTTGAACCACAGTTGAGTTTTCCAGCTGTTTTGAAATGGAACTATGCAGAATAGAACAAAGACCATTAAAAAAAAAAAAAAAAAAGCCAAATCTCACAAATCCCCCAACTTTGCATTATCACCCTTTCTGCCTCACTTCTGATTTCCATCCCCCAAATCTAAATTTGGGAGGGCCAAATCTCACGCTCAGTTTAAAATTATTTAACCCAGTGTCCATCATCACTCTTTGCATGAAAAACATTTTCTCTTGGGTCTTAGGTTGGTCTAGTTTTCATTGAGTGATCTGAGTTTGACTGAGAAAAACTCCCCCTGCCAACCCAACATTATGCATTAACCAACGGCTCCTGCTTTGGGATCATTTTAGCAGCCTATTTCTGGCCCTGCACTGCAATGTCCCTTTGGAGAAGCATTGCAAACTAGGTGGCAAAAATAACTTTTGTCGTTATACATCAGCATAAACTGGTGAGAAAATTTATTTTGATTTCTTGGTATGCTTCACCAGTTCCCATGCAGATGAGCCTGATCAAGGGAACAATGTGTTCCTCAAGCTGGAAAGGAATCCATCTTGAATTGGCAAGATACTCATTTCTTGATACAACACTTAAGCATGATGACCAAATTTCTCTGTAGTTACAGGACGATTGTTCACTTGAAGAGGTCCCAATGGGCAAATCGGGAATTACCTCAATATTCTTGAATTGAAGTCAAATCCCTACATGGACTGTATGAATTCTCAGTGATAAACACCAACTATCAATCTGATACTGAAGATCAGTATGAGTATTACTTTTTCTACTCTCAATACATGAAGAAATTTATTGAATTTTAATGCCATCCATCTCATTGCTGAAGTGACTCTTCACTATAGGTAGATGTGGAAATGAAGAGAGGAATTTTCAGGAATGACACCAATTCTCTGGTAAGATCCAATGAACCCCAACGTTATCCATCTTGTTGTCTTCTTTCTTTCAAAAACTATTCCATTTCAAAAGAATCAGCACCCTAAACCTGTACACTCTTGTTTTATTTTGAATAAATGGTACTGAAATTCTAATTTTATTGATTTGTTTCCATTTATATGGGATATTTATTTCAGAAAAGTAATAGGTTAAAAAATCTTTGATGGACTTGCTGCTTTGGAAAAATTCCACAAAATATTCATATAAAAGTTTAAGCATCAATAAAACTAGGTAATAAAACGATAAAGACAAGGGCAAGCAGATTTTGAGTCGCTCTGTGATGGCACTTGTAGGCAATGACGAAGGGTCTGAATTGTTGAGTACTGAATGGACATAGAAATACTGTACAAATAAACTAAGTGCAATAAATATTAGATTCCTAAGCAGAATACATTACCTGATGTTGTTCAGTGCTGATTGAATGGGACAAATAGGAACATCAATTGTTTTATAGGCCTATCTGCTCATCTTGTCCTGAACCTCTGGCACAGAAACTGCACCTCTGTGGCCAGCAAGTTCTCAAATTAGCTTAATCATTGGAAGTTAATGTTTAAGTGTGAAATTCTGGCAGCCATTTCTCAGGAAGCCCCTCCGAGGGCTATCATAAAATCACCTACACTAAAATGACCCAGAGGACCATTTTCTTTGCTTAAGAGACCCATGTTTTAAATACATGAATTTACCCTTCAAGAAACGGAGATCGCTCAGTTCCAGCAAGCTGCCATATAACCAAACAGATGTTCCCCAAACAGCCAATCCAGCTTCCCCTTACCTGAACATTCTAGAAGATCTACACAACCCCTAAACTTAAGAGTCCCATTTTGAACTGTGTCACTAAGACACACAATTCTCCCCTCTATAAATATACTTGCCCTCAAGTCTATGTCTGAAAATCATAACAACAAACTTCTGATTCAGGTATTAGGTGAAGAAACATTTTCCTTATCTTGTATGAAACGATTTTATAAAATGAAAACTAAAAAGTCATCATACCCTTCCCTTGTATAGTTGTATAAACCATATCCATTTCCCTCCTTGATGTTTTCTCCCCTTAAAATGAAAACAGCAGCCTTTTCAATCTTCTTCCAAAAAGCAAAAGGTACCTCTTCCCACCTCAACTGAGTTCTGCCCTTTTGGGCTTCAGGGCCTTCATTTTAAGGAGAGGAACCAGGTACCCTCGACATGGTCCCCACCCCGCATCATATGATGGCACAACCGTACATTAAGAGCCTTCCTTAGAAAACAAAGGCATTTAATAGATTTTTCTGCTTTTATAATTTAAATAACTTAAAGACTGAAAAGAAGAAAAATCCGACCAGGGCAAGACAGAGTTGGAGTGCAGTCTCAAAGTGAAAGTGGCAGAGGAAAAGAGAGGAGAGATTGAAAATGTACTATGGAACCCCCAATGCCCACAACCCACCTGTTTCGGACCCTCAAACCCCCCTCCCCCGCTAAATCCCCTAAAGCCGCCGAAGAGCTCGCTTCTTGTCAGTCTTCTTCTTGGAAGCCAGTTTCTTGTCTCTGTCACCTGCGTGTTTCTTGGCCATGGGACCCTCCCCAGAGGCACCTGCCGAAGACGAGCAAGGCTCAGCAGGGTTCTTGGTATGCAAGCCAGAGGAGGGTTGGGCATGAATCTCGGTTAGGAGCCGAGCTCGGGAAGCATACTCCTCATAGTTCTCCAGCAGGAGGCGCCCTGCCTCCTCATTCAGGGCAGATTCCGGGTTGGGATGGATCAGCAAACACTTGATGGTCTGGAGCAGGAGCAAAATAAGGAAATCAGAGTTACAAGAGGGAGGAATGTCTATGGAGATTCTCAGTCATTCAGGTCACAGTTGCCACAAATGTGTTTTTTCAAAAGGCAACTGGACTTTCTTGTTTTTCTTTGAAGACGTTTCGCTTCTCATCCAAGGAGTTCTTCAGGTCTGACTGACTGTGGTTTTCACGTAATGACCAGATATGCTTAATGGCTGCCACAAAAAAGATGTCAGTCAGAACTGAAGAAGCTTCCTGGATGAGAAGCGAAATGTTTTCACGGGAAAACAAAGTCCAGTTGCCTTTTGGAAAGCACCTTTGGGAAGAAGGAGGAATCCTCAGGCAAGAACCAGATATTCAGGGCCAGCGGAAGATAAGATACTGGCAAGTCTCCCATTCCGTCCAAGGACCAGCCTGACTTGATGAGCTTATTTCCTTCTGACTCCCACCAAAGAGGTTTTCTTCAGGAATATGGAGAAGAGACATAGGCTTAGGTCATTGGCCAAACAATACAAAACTCTAGATACTGGAGGAGCATAATGCAGTTTTATACAGGTAGTCCTCCACGTATGACCACAGTTAAGCCCAAAATTTCTCTTGCTAAGCAAGACAGTTGTTAAGTAAATTTTGCCCCATTTTACTGTGACCTTTCTTGCCACAGTTGTTAAGTGAATCACTGCAGCTGTTAGGTTTATTTATTTATTTTATTTATTTTATTTTTATACCGCCCTTTTCCAGCAGGACTCAGGGCGGTGAACAGCCAAGGTAAAACATAACATATAAAATGTAAAAACAGTTTAAAAGCTATTAAATGATTTCGGCCCACAATTTAAAACAGTCCAATTAAAATCAATTACAAATTAAAACCGAAAGCCCGGCTAGATGAAATAAGTGAGTTTTAAGGTCCCGGCGAAAAGTCCGGAAGTCTGGTATCGTGCGTATCTCTGGGGGTAGGTCGTTCCAGAGGGTAGGTGCTGCCAGAGAAGGCTCTCCCCCTGGGGGTCGCCAGCTGACATTGTCTGGCCGACGGCACCCTGAGGAGGCCCTCTCTGTGTGAGCGTACTGGCCAGCGGGAGGTTATTGGCAGCAGAAGGCAGTCTCGTAGATACACTTAACACAGTTGTTAAATGAATCTGTCTTCCCATTGACCTTGCTTGTCAGAAGTTTGCAAAAGGTGATCACATGACCCCGGGACACTGCAATAGTCATAAACATGAGTCAGTTGCCAAGCGTTGAAATTTTGATCATGTGACCATGAGGTATCTACAATGGTCGTTAAGGATGAATAACGGTCATAAGTCACTTTTTTCAGTGCCACTGTAACTTTGAATGGTCACTAAACATACTGTCGTAAGGAGAGTACTACCAGTACAGGGCAGGGGGACGTGCAAACAAGGTTTTCTCTTTCAGCAAATCATAGTAGTGACTGCAATAAAGCTACAGTTCCCAATGTACTTCCTAAATGAATACACACGGAACGCTTACGGCAACGTTTCAAGGCGTACTGGTTGGGGGCGTGGATGTACGTGCGCTTTTGTAGGCAGACAAGGCCGCCTGGGTGGCTAAGAACAATTGATCTGCAGCAGCAAAGGCTAGGAAGCTGTATGGCACCCCAAGGAGTCTGATCCGAAAATCAATGCATCAAAAACCAAGGCAATTATGTTTGACAAGAAAAATGAGGCAAATTACTGCAGGTTATTCTTAATTTTTTTTTTTTAAAGGAAAAAAAAGAAAAGAACCATGAGCAAGCAGGTGATTCTGCCTGCTTTGGTTCGGTGTTTACTGAAGATGAAGAAATGGTTGGAGAAAAATGGTTTGTGAATGCTGGTAGTAAAATAGTGGGTAGTATCTGGCCAGTTGCCAGGAAGGAAGGTTTGGTGAAAGAAGTGAAAGTGATAGTCTCGAGAGTGTTTCTGCTCATTTTTATTGTATGGAAATGCAAAAACATAAAAGTTGGATGCAATGGGAGAGAATCTGTGTGTTTGATCCAGAGATAGCGTCAAGAATGGATGAGGACTGAATACAAAAGGGAGCAGGGTGGATAAAAATCAATGATTTTTTAAAAAAAATCAAAAAAATCAGATTTTTAAAATTTTTATCGAATTTATTTTAATAAAAAACTTTTGGGGTAAAAATCTATCGCAGGATAGTTTTCTATTTAAGATACATAAATAATTTAGTTTATTCAGCATGAAATGGAGCTTAGTTATGTAGCATGAGGGTGTATATTCTGCAACACTGGGACTATCGGTGAGTCAACAGTGGGTCAAAGGAGTAGCAGAGATGACAGTTGCTCTTTAAAAATCATGATTTAAATCGAGTTGATTTAAATCAAGCCTTTTTACTAGTGATTTAAATCATGATTTAAATTGTGATTTAAATCAACTCGATTTAAATCAAATCCACCCTGAAAGGGAGTGATCTATAAGAATCAAGTATACTGGACTGGTTTAGTGATACAGAGGGAATGAAGATGAAATCACAAAACAAGTACAGTGGTACTTTGGTATAAGTAGTCCTTGACTTACAACAGCTTATTTAGTGACCGTTCAAAGTTACAACGGCACTGAAAAAAGTGACTTAGGGCCATTTTTCACATTTACAACCATTACAATCCATTGGTCACGTGATCAAAATTCGGAGGCTTGGCAACCGCCTCACACTTATGATGGTTGCAATCATGTGATCACTTTTTGTGACAAGCAAAGTCAATGGAGAAACCAGATTCATGTAACAACTGTATTACTAACTTAACACCTGCAGTGATCCACTTATAACAACTGTAACAAGAAAGGTCGCAAAATGGGGCAAAACTCACTTAACAAATGTCTCACTTAGCAACAGAAACTTTGGGCTCAATCATGGTCATAAATCGAGTACCTATACTCATCATTAATTGGTTCTAGAAGGCACAATGAGTATCAAAAATGGTGAGTACCAAACAATTTTTTCCCATAAGGAATAATGTAGTAGTGAGTCACAAGGCAGCCAACAGTGACAAGTTCTAGCTTGTGCCTTGAGTACTAAAGAAACAATGAGTACTGGGACAAAATTCTCATATCAAAATATGTTCAGTACCAAATTTGACAAGTTTCAAAGCAGCTGAGTATCAAGGTACCAATGTACATGAGGGAAGTTTCAGTAGAGAGGAAAGATTAAGGAAGTCATAGCTGGAACGACTTGATAAGAGCTCTAAAAAGACAAAGATGGCAGGTTTAACGCACAAAAGGCAACGTATGAAGGAGTGTATAGATGTAGTGGGAGCAAGGATGGTTTTCAACGATAAATGGCATGGAAATGTACTGGTTTAAAATACATTTAGTTATATATTTTTTCTCCATCCCATATCTTTAAATTTCTATGGCACACTATTTGTTACTCTATTTTGCTCTCTTGGAACAAGGTTTACCTCAGTGGCATAATTGGACACACAGCCATATACAGTAAGGTAATCTGATTGCTCAACTATTTTTTAAAAAGGGTACACAATTTTACTTTTAAAATGTTTCCATTCCCCCTATAAAACAATTTCTCCCATACAAATAGCAAAAATCAAGAGTTAAAAAAGAAAAAAATTAACTTTTTAGCTCCCACTGTCTTTTTGGTTCTGCGAGCTAGGAACAACACAGGCCCACGTTCACAAGTGCATTACTCTTCCAGAATCGATCTCTGTTTGTGAGGAAAGCACACTTAGCTAACATGATAGATCAGGGGTCCCCAGCCCACCGTCTGTGGACTAGCACCGGGCTGCAGCATGCCAGAAACTGGCCTGCACAAACAAGCGAAACCCCATCCATGGGTTGCAGGGAGCACACAAAACTATGCCCCCTCCGGTCCATGGAAAAACCAGCTAAATGTCTATGGAGATTCTCAGTCATCCAAGTCACACTTGTCCCAAAGGTACTTATTCAAAAGGTAACTGGACTTTGTTTTTTTCCTTAAAGATGTTTCGCTTCTCATCCAAGAAGCTTCTTCAGTTCTGACTGATTTCAAACCAGCCCTCTATCTCTCTTGCCTCTATCACAGCGGCCCCCAATCTTTTGGGCACCAGGAACCGGTCCCTGGTGCCCAAAAGATTGGGGACCACTGTGGTAGATCAATGGCTAAAGAATTAGGCCCATATGTAGGGACATCAGTGGTGGGAAAAGTCAAACCAGTCCTGATCTGCAAAATGGCAGGTGAAACACTGTGATCAAAACTCTGTCCCTTTGAAAAAAAATTTGTAATGCACACCTATACACAAAGGGCGGGGCTTCAATCACACGCTGTGCCCACGATCATGTAATTTTCACCCCAACCCTTGGAGATTCCCTGACCTGTAAGCTTCCTTTTATCCAGAAGACTCAATCAATGGAAAACTTTTCAAACCAGCTAAATGTCTACGGAGATTCTCTGCCCTCCATGTCACAGTTGTCCCAAAGATGCTCATTCAAACAACAACTGGACTTTGTTTTTTTCCTTGAAGATGTTTCACTTCTCATTCAAGAAGCTTCTTCAATCCAGCCCTCTGTCTCTCTTGCCTTATCAAGTGTGAGAAGCATCATGATTTCTACAACACTACACTGTTTCAAACCCTGAAATTTGAATCCAAACTTTTGGTGGTTATACATTCCCTTTTTGTAGACAGTGGCACCATCCCACAGCCCCAAGCCATATTTCGGTTCTAGCTCCGGGATTTTAGAATCGAAAACTCAGGACTTGGAAAGGTGTGCTGAAAGAAGCAGGATAAAAGTTGGACAAGGACAAAACATGGCTTTTAAAATTCCCTCTTGCTGCACACCGCCAGCAGAAAAAATGAGGAATTAAGCTTTGTGAGCTGCGTTGGCTGTTCTTAATGGAGTTCACCAATGACTATTGATTTTCCTTTATTTATTACATTTGTATACCATTGAATCTCCAGGGACGCCTGGCAGTTTACAAATGACTTACAAATTTATACTTGATTATTCGTCTGGCTTTTAAATGTTTAATTAAATGCAAACATATCTACAAATTACCAAAGCTCAGAAGCACCATTTTGAAATGTTTAAGACATTCTTCTTCATTCCTAAAGGCAAAGCTGCACCAGACCAGCATAGAAATTAACCAGAACAAATCTTATAAATTAATCCAATAATACAAAGTCTCTTAACTAAAACGCTTCCTAAATTATTTCAAATGCTTCTTTCCACATGCAACCCTGACCTTCTTTTTTATTTCTTCCACATAGCTATGTGTAAATACTGAATAGTCATTCTCTGCTTTTTTTCATCTGGAAACTAAGTGGCAAAACAGAATATCATTTCTGTCTCCCAAAACTCCCTAAATAAAGAGGGTGTTTTGCTTGACTTACAATTGAGCCCAAAATTTCTGTTACTAGGCAAGATAATTGTTAAGTGAATTCTGCCCCATTTTACATCCTTTCTTGCCACAGTTAAGTGAATCACTGCAGTGTTTTAAGTTAGTAACATGGTTGTTAAGTGAATCTGGCTTCCCCATGGACTTTGCTTGTCAGAAGGTTGCAAAAGGGATCACATGATTCCGGACACTACAACCGTCATAAATATGAATCAGTTGCCAAGCATCTGAATTTTGATCACATGACCATGGGGATGCTGCAGCAGTTGTGTGTGAGAAAAACGGTCATAAGTCATTTTTTTCAATGCTGTAGTAACTTTGAGAGGTCACTAGATGAACTATTGCAACTCAAGGATTAGCTGTATAGTTTTGGAAAAAAAATTCCTCAACAGCTCATTCCAAATCTTTCCATGACCTATTTTGGAGAAAGTCACGCATATGCACACTAAAATGCTTGCCAACTCCTTTGAATTGTCAATATTTCTACATAAATATATCCTAAAATATGCTCTGTACTCTACAAAAGCCCCAAAACAATATAAATAAAGCCAACTAAAAAAATACCTAAACCAGTACTTATTCATGAAAATGATCAAAAGCAACACATGGCTAAAGTTTTGAACATTTCTTTCAATAATAGTGTGGTCCCCTTGAGCAGCAATAACTGCAGTTAAATTTTTTCAATCACTGTCAATCGGTCCTCTGGCACATGGATTTGGAGGAATTTTAGCCCAATCCTCCTTACAGAACACTTCAGGTTAGGGATGTTTGTAGGTCTCCTCAGATGAACTCCATGCTTCAGATCCTTCTGCATTTCTATAGGATTAAGTTATTTAGGTTTTTTCATCATCAGCTGCTATTTGCTTTATTTCCATTTTAATTGTTAGCCACCCAGAATCATGTATGAGATGGCTGGCCAAATAAATTTATTAAATAAACAAACAAATAACGTCAAGACTTTCCAAACTATTAACTTTATACATCTCTGACTATATGAATCTACATGCTTTTGGGTCACTGTCTTGCCACATGATCCACTTTGTTTTGGGTAGACAGATACACGGACAGATACTCTGACATTTTTCTGTAAAATCTGCTGGTACCAGAGAGCCAGTTTGGGGATATTATGATAGTAAGTTGAGGGCTACATGTATACGCAGTCCTATGTGTTTCTGCACCTGCCAAAGAAGAATAAAATAACCACTTTGGGGTCCATTATCTGCCATCCTGGGATCTACCCATGTTGTGGCCCGCCAGCAGCCTGCGCAGATTGTGCTTATCCCTACGACGAGGAGGCTGGTGTGGTATTGCGCCAGCAGCCTGTGCAGCCGGCGCTCGAGTTGGACAGCGAGGAGGCTGAAGAGGATGTGGTGCCAGAGGCAGAGACTCAGCCAGGGCCTTTAGAATCTCCAGAGGCTCCTTCAAGTGAAGAGAGTGAAGCGGAGGAGCCTCTTCTCAATGCTCGAGCACACAGGGCTGCCAAAAGGCAGGAGGAGGTCTCCTCGAGAGTAAGGCTTGGGGTTCATTGGCCACTCCCTTAGCCTATTTAAATTCACACACAGATAGCAAACGTTGCTGGAAACAACGTTTGGTCCTATCCTTGTCGGACTTCGTTTAATCTCTGTAATTCATAGCAGACTGATAAGGACATTTGTGGTTAAAGCCTGCATTTTGAAAGGGGTCTCTTTGTATTAAAGGGAGTTTTTGGAGAAGTGTGTGCTACACTTCTTGGGACCCGTAGCTGGGGCAGAACAACCCAGTTAAAAACACTACCTACCAGCAGGACATGTCGGATGCCCAGTTCTGCTTTCCAGTCTTTCTTGAGGACGTTGACACAGATCTCCCCATTGGCACCCACATTGGGGTGGAAGATTTTGGTCAGGAAATAGCCTTTTGGTGGACTGGCAGGGAAGTCTTTGCCAAGAATCAACTTCATGCGGAAGAGGCCACCAGAGTAAGGAGTACCTTCTACAAAGGGAAGAAAAGAAAAAGAGGGGGTCTTATCATCACAGATAGTCCTTGACTTACAGGCAGTTCTGATGAACTTACGACCCGGATTTGAAGGCTGCTCCCCCTGGTCACATGATTACCCTTTCGGCACCTGGCAATCAGACCATTTCCTGGGATCCCATGATTCCTTTTACAGCAATTCTGCCAAAAACCAGCACTTATTTCCGATTTTCAGCAAAAGCAATGGTGAACCAATGGTTCACTTAATGACTGTGGCATTCATGTAACAACCACAGATTGGCTTAATGGCTGCCACAAAAAAGTAAGTAAAAATCATGTTTGCTATGTGACTAGCTCTCTTTGCAACCAACATGAGTTACAAACACAATGGCCAGGCTCCATTACAGTCATAAAGTGAAGGAATATGATCTGTATGAGGAATATCTTCTTGAGTAAGGCTCACATTTCCAACACCCAACTTTTTCCTTCCTATTAACCAATAATTCAAGATGGGCTGCCTTCTCCAGTAGGATTCTTTGACTGGAGCAGCATAATCACTAGAGTTCAATTTTGAGATGCAACCCTTGAAAGAAATCCCCAAAGATGAACCCTCTTCAAGTAACCCTCTCTTACCAGGTCCTTCAATGGTGACCTGCACATCTGTAATGTCCTCCTCGTTGGGGAACACCTTGATGCCCTCGGGTGGATCTGATGTTAGAGTGGAGACTTCCTTGTAGACCAGCCGGATCACATGTGGAGGAAGGTTTTCAACATTGGAATTCTGAAGAAGAGAGAGACAGGAGAATAAAAGAAAGAATATTGGCTCTCATCTGAAAGAATATTTTACTGGATGCAACAAGGGTCAAAATGTTCCAAAATGCACCGACCAAAACATACCTAAAGACTTTCCATGACACCGTAACATCTTTTCTCTGGACTTAATAGGTTTTGGCCAGCAATGTCTTCTTCAAAGAATACTTACGTAAGCAAACCTTGTACAGATTTTTTTTAAAAATCTACATTTTAATCATTCAAATGTATAAGGCTGTTTGATATAAATGATCAAAGCATACTTTTAAAACATCTTTTCAAGTAAATGTTTCATTTTATCTTTATTCATATATACCTTCTAAAGATAATTCTTTAGGATTTGGATTTGTCCATTATTGCTTCTGAAGGAGTTAAGGCTGACTCAGGAATAAAAAGGAAAAAACATGAAGTGAAACCAACAGATTCAAGAGCCTCCACCTCTAGATGGGAGAAAGCAGAACCTGTTTCAATAGAAATAACATCTCTAATGCTACTCACTTATAAGAATGGATACCTGGGGCTACTTGCTCCAGGGTTCCATGTCTATCTAAGATAGGAATAGGCAGCCTGCAACCTTACAGACTAAATATAAGAAATTGACTGTTCAAATGTCTATCAAGAATAAACTCTCAACTCCAGATGTCTACTGCGAATGCAAGAAAATGGAAGCAGAGAGAAAGAGGTGCAGAAAAATGAGGGGGAGGAGAAGGAGAGGGAGACAGAGAGAGGGACAGAGGGAGAGTACAGAGGCTCCATTTCGGCATCATCCCCTCCCAGTCAGAAGACCCCTTTCTCATCTTATCCGAGAGTTGCATCTCTTTAAGTATGTTAGGAAAAATGACGCTTCCCCCATGTTTGTCATTTTGGAATAAGAATCAGAATGCTTCACTCTTGAAATCCCGATGCAGGCCACCCAGGCAGCATCATCCATGGCCATTTCTCAAGTTTATTTGGGTTTTCCATCAGTAGTTCCAAATAACTCATGAAATATGGGACATCCATTTCCAATATGCACTGCTCCCTATCAACACCCAGCATCAATATGCCTGATAGAGGTGGTTCTATCAGGTGGTTCACTTAGTGGTAGTTCTATCAGGTGGTTCACTTAGTAACCGTTTGAAATTATGATGGGCCTCTCCAGGGCTAGTTATGACCCAGATTCAATGTTCTTATGGCTGCCCCTTCCGCAGTCATATGATCACATTTTGGGAGCTCGGGAACCAGCGATTTGCAGGGACCCAAAACATGATAATTTTTTATGACTTTTTTTTTTTTTGCTAGGAATCAGTATTTACTTTGCGGACAATAGATTTGCTTAACAATAGCAGCATTCACTTTACACTACACTTGTTTAACGACTATCTCAAAAATGACTGTAAAAGCACTCATGGGGCAACCCACTTAACAACCAGCAGGACTTACAACCATAATTCCAGGCTCAATTATGGTTTTAAGTCTAGGTCCACCTATATCTGGAAGGCAAAATTTATTTATGAACATCTTATTTTTAAACTATTACCATCTCCGAACCCCAGGGAGCCCATTTTACCTATTAAATTGTACCACTCATCTTGTAAGACATGTGCAACCTTAAACAAACTTTTAATTATAAAGCTCACCTGCTCATTCCAGCAAGCAAGAATTAGTAGCCTCTTGTAATTGGAATCCCTTATTTCAGTATAATTAACAAGAGAGCTATGGATGAACTGGAGAGCAAGGATAGTTTAGATGCTTTCTTTTCATTAATGAAAAGAAAATGGAAAGTTTAAAAGAACACTGATGCAAAAGAACGCAATACCCCATTCTAAATAGCAAATAAGCATCTAATTACATGAAGAGAACGGGAAGCAATTTATATGCTTGTAGAGATGGACCAGAATCAGTTGTTGTTGTTAGTTGTGAAGTCGTGTCCGACCCATTGCGACCCCATGAACAATGTTCCTCCAGGCCTTCCTGTCCTCTACCATCCTCTGGAGTCCATTTAAGCGTACGTCGACTGCTTCAGTGACTCTATCCAGCCACCTCATTCTCTGCTGTCCCCTTCTTCTTTTGCCCATTAGGCTCTTCTCCAGTGAGTCCTTCCTTCTCATTAGGTGGCCAAAGTATTTGAGTTTCCTCTTCAGGATCTGGCCTTCTAAAGAACAGTCAGGGTTGATCTCCTCTAGGACTGACTGGTTTGATCGCCTTCTAGTCCAGGGGACTCACAGGAGTCTCCTCCAGCACCATAGTTCAAAGGCCTCAATTCTTTGGCACTCAGCCTTCCTTATGGTCCAACTTTTACATCCATACATTGCAACTGGGAAAACCATAGCCTTGACTATACACACTTTTGTTGGCAGGATGATGTCTCTGTTTTTTAGTATGCTGTCTAGATTTGCCATAGCTTTCCTCCCCAGGAGCAAGCGTCTTTTAATTTCTTGGCTGCAGTCTCCATCTGCGGTGATTTTGGAGCCCAGGAAAATAAAATCAGTCACTACCTCCATTTCTTCCCCATTTATTTGCCAGGAATTGAGAGGGCCGGATGCCATGATTTTAGTTTTTTTAATGTTCAGTTTCAAGCCAACTTTTGCACTCTCTTTCTTCACCCGCATCAAGAGGCTCTTTAGTTCCTCTTCGCTTTCTGCCATTAGAATGGTATCATCTGCATATCTGAGGTTGTTGATATTTCTCCCGGCAATCTTAATCAGTATTTCCCAACAATTTTACATCCCTGGTTTGTAATCCATGAAATCCAAAAAAAAGTCCACCCAAACTTCAAAACAAGATGTAAATAGAACTTCTAATGATGGATAGACATAGGTTATAGATTCTTGAGCCCCTGGGGCCTTGCTAGTAAAGAGACCCGTCTATCATGGTCCACACTTCAACTCACAGGTTAAGTTTATGCACTAAGAAACATTAACTCACTTAGCTATAACTGTTTTAAAAGGACTGAATAAAAAAGAGAATATATATGGTACTAAAGCATTTGTTGTAAGCCACCCAAACTAATTTAAAATGGCCATAAATCTACTAAATACAAATAGCCTTGACTTATGACCAAAACTAAGCCCAAAATTTCTATTGCTAAGTGAGATAGTTGTTAAATGAATTTGGTTCATGTTACTACCTTTTTTGCTACAGCTATTAAATGAATCACTGTTAAGTAACATAGTTGTTAAGTGAATCTGGCTTCTCCATTGACTTTGCTTGTCAGTAGGTCACAAAAGGGAATCACATAATCCAGGGACACTGCATCCGTCATAAATGTGAGCCAGTTGCCAAGCATCTGAACTTTGATCACATGACCATGGGGTTGCTACAATAATCATAAGTGTGAAAAATTGTCATAAATCGCTTTTTTCACTGCCATTGTAACTTCAAACAGTTACTAAACAAACTGCTGTAAGTCGAGAACTACTTGTAAATAATAAAGCAGTACGGACATTAATAGTAATAATCATTGTAACATTATTCTCCTAAAAAATAGGTTAGTGAAGGCAAGCCAGTTCATGGTCAGTGTTCAATTGTCATTTGTGCATTGTTATCAATAAAACTTCAACATCATTAATCACATTGTGTGTCCAAAGAAGACAGGTCATGTTAATTAGGGCACAATGTCCTGGCACATGTTGGGCAAAGATGTGGACACTGTAGTTGTTTGCACTGGTGGCTCTAGACCTGTGCAGCTCATGTTATGTTGTGCTTCCACAGCGCACTTCACTTCATAAGCTTAACAGCCATTATGGATGAGGCCATGCCAGCTAGAATGATTTTCGTGTTCCTGGGTAGTTGGGGCTATGTCAGGCAACTTCAGGGAGGCCTTTATTATATCTTTGTAACTTTCCTTCTGCTCTGCAGGTGAGCAAGAGAATTCCTCAAAAAGGAGTTGCTTGGGTAAGCCTCTTGTGGCCCGTCAGCGGCCTGTGCAGTTAGTAGCTGATTCCAACAGCGAGGAGGCTGGTGTGGTGCTGCGCCAGCAGCCTGTGCAGCTGGCGTTCAAGTCAGACAATGAGAAGGCTGGAGAAGATGTGGTGTCAGAGGCGGGGATTCAGCCAAGGCCTTCAGAACCTCCAGAAGCTCCCATAAGTGAAGAGGAAGAAGAGGAGGAGCCTCTTCTCGATGCACAAGCGCGCAGAGCTGTTAAAAGGCAGGTGGCTCCTCAGGAGGAGGTCTCCTCAAGAGTAAGGCTTGGAGCTAATTGGCCACTCCCCTAGCCTATTTAAGGAAGGACGACGACTGATGCAATTTGCAGGAAACAACTTCATTCATATTCCTTCACGTCTTGATTCCAGAAACGTTTGATTCGGCTCTTGTTTCTCTCGTCAGTTTTCCTGCAAATTGCTTCTGGACAATTCTGCCAACCACAGTAAGATTATGGTTATCTGAAATACTGTACCTCAGAATTGAGTTATTATTCTTTGGATTCTTGTCGGCTGTTAATGAAGTTAAATTAATAGCCCTTGTTCAGAAAAGACTGATTTAAACTGTATTTGTGTTCGAACAACTACTAAGAAAGCTCATTAGTAGTCTTTAATTAATAAACTAAAGTTTGTATGGACTTTGTGTGTGCTGCATTCTTTGGGGTCCGTAGCTGGGGCAGAACAATGCCCCAGTAGTGGATTCCACTTACCTTCGTTACTGGTTCGGAACCGGGAGCGCTCACGCGTGGCGCTTCTGCACATAATCTTCTGCGCATGCGCAGGGTGTCTGTGATGACGTCCGGGCGGAGCCTCCCGCCACCGCTACTGGTTCTCCTGAACCGGGGCTAACTAGTAGAAACTCACCACTGGTGTGCCCTAATGATGTAAACTGCCCATTGGCTCATCAGCAGTATGTAAACTGATGGTCTAGAGCTGTGATGGCGAACCTATGGCACATGTGCCAGAGGTGGCATACAGCGCCCTCTCTGTGGGAACGTGAGCCGTTGTCCCAGTTCAGCTCTGCTGCACATGTGCCTACCGCCAGCCAGCCAGTCTTCGGGTCTCTGCT